TTCTGTTAAGTTTCTCAGGATCCACCTATGAGTGAAAACATATGGTATCTGTCTTCCTCTGCCTGACTTATTTCACTTAGCATAATACCCTCCAGTTCCATCCACGTTGCTACAAACGGCCAGATTTCATTCTTTCTCATTGCCAAGGAGTATCCCATTGCACACGTAAACCACATCTTCTTTATCCATTTATCAGTTAATGGACATTTAGGCTCTTTCCATAATTTGGCTATTGTTGAAAGTGCTGCTATAAACATTGGGGTACAAGTGCCCCTATGCATCAGCACTCCCGTATCCCTTGGGTAAATTCCTAGCAGTGCTGTTGCTGGGTCATAGGGTAGATCTATTCTTAATTTTCTGAGGAAACTCCCCACTGTTTTCCAGAGCGACTGCACCAGTTTAAATGTTATAGTTTCCCCTCTCTAATGGCAACACAGTTCAGCCTATCCCCACCCTTCATCCGGGTGCTCTTACACTCTCTTAAAATAAATAATGGATTCTTTACTTCCCATCTTAAGCCGTGACTCTAAAAGTAAACAAATAGCCATGTTGCATACCAAGGGCCATCTTCAATGGCTCCTGAAAAACTCACTCCTAAATAACAACAAAAAAATATTGAATACCTAATTCGGTCACTGTTAAAACACTCTGTTATTTTGTTGAGACGTAGTCAAGAGATACTCATTCACCTCTTAACAATGGTGAGGGTAACTTTAAGTTAAAAAAAAAGATGAAGGAGTCTTGTTCTATAGAAATTAACACACCAAAAGAAACTTGTTTTCTGAAGTTAATCTTCTTATAGATCAAAATGACAGAATTACAAAGTCAAAGCAACGAGAGAGAAAAATCAAGACTTGAAGCGTTGGCCATTTGAGAATGAAATAATAATGGAAGCATACAGATCATTTCTTAATCTTATTTTAGCCTTCAGGTTGAAACTTCGTAGAACTGGCGGAGTGCTAGGTACTCCCTTGAAAGTTGTGTTTTCACATAATCCGATTTATTCCATAAGGGGAAATGTTTCTCAAGAGTAAAATGGCCAAGTTGAAGAAAACTAAAGTCTTGGGAACACATTTTAGTGTGTTATTGAAAGTTGTTTGTAATTCTAAGCTATGGTAGGTTGTTTCTAAAGATGACCATCGTAAGTCCCTTCCTCCTCTGCACCTATCTGCCATTTCCATGTCATGAGATAAAGTCAGATTTCCCTCCCCTTGAATTTGGGCTGGCCTTAAGTTCTTGTTTGACCAACAGAATGAGGTAGAAATGAAAACACAGCACGTCCAAGGTCATAGAAGGTCTTGCAGCTTGCACTTGAGTCTCATGGAACATTCTTCTTGAGATGCTCTTGGAACCCATCGGCCATTCCGTGAGAAGTCTAAGCCACACTAAAAGACCACATACACAGCTCTAGGAGACCGCTTCCGCTGAAGTTCCAACCAACAGTTGGCCATGTGATTCGGCAATCTTGGCTGTTGAGTCCACTGGAGCCTCCTGATGACTCCAGCCTCGTCTACCATCTGATAGAATATACAAGGGAGACCTTGAGCAAGAACCATCCAGTTGAGCCTAGTCAATGTACAGAGCCATGAGAGACAATAGTAAAGTGTTGCTTTAAGCCGTGGAATTTTTGGATGGTTGTAATAGAGCCCTACATAACAAGAACAGAAGTAAGAATATTATGAATAATTAATTTGTTCTTTCTTTTCAACACTTGGCACAGTCTTTTGGAACCAGGTCCTCCGCTGGGTGCTGGGAATTCAAAGATGAATGAGATAGAAGATGTAAAGCCCTATACGTTTGCTGAAGCAACACCTCGTTGGCGAGACAGACTGATGAACAGAAGAATATTACACGGGACAAGGGGTGGTATTACAAGAATGTGTGTAGATCCTGTGGGATCACACAGCCTTGGGAAAACAAATCTTTTTTTGGAAGGTGGTGAACAGAGTGAGACTTGAAGACTGAAGAAGAGATCACAGGCATATCAGCTGGGGGAAGGTCCCCTGAGCATTAGCACAGGGAGAAGATGGCATGTGGGATCTTTCTGGAACTACAAGTACTTCAATAAGCCTGGAGCATAGATGTGAGGGCTACGTGACCAAAGATGTGGTTGGAAAGGCTACCAGAAGGCTGAAAAAAGGTCCAGCGTACGGGCGAAGGAGTTTGGATTTCATTTATGTGTTTATTTTTATTTTATTCTTCAACGTCAAAGTCTAGCCATGCTGACCCACTTCTTTCTTATGTCATTATCCTTCAATAATTAAATCGAATGGTTCTAACGTCTGTATTGAAGGATTTTGAAGACAGGCACTTTATAATCCAGAATGATGGCATCAGAAATAGATGGGGGGCATAGTGGAGAAGGCAAGATTATGTATGCAGGGAGACTATTTAGGAGTCTCTGCCAGTAATTTAGGCATGGCAGTGGGAGTGAGATCGGAAAGAAGGATATGTTAAACAGGTGGAGCCTGAGTGCTGAATTTGTAAGACAAGGGAGAGGGAGGAATCCAAAATGAGGTCCAGATTTCTAACTCGGGCAGACGAAGAGATGGTGATGTCATTCACTGAGCTGTGGCAGAAGAATGATGACAAGGAGGGAATGTATTGGACTGAGAGCATACGTGAGGCATTGACGGGAGGGTGTACAGTAGAGAGGTGGGTGGGGAGCTCCAGAGGTTAGGGGGGGCTGAAGCTGAGCCTGAGCTGAAGATCTGGATTTGGAGGTCATGAATATGTAGAAAGGGCCGGAAGCCATGGGTGCAAAGGAGAGAAAGGCAATGGGCACTGTGCTAACAGAGATTACGCGTGGGACTTCAGGGAAGGACCGTGTCCAAGGGCAAGTTAGGAGAAGCCTGTAATGGGGATCAAGAAGGAGTAACCAAGGTGCCTGAGTGGCTCAGTCGCTTGGGCGTCCGACTTCGGCTCGGGTCATGATCTCGCGGTTCGTGGGTGCGAGCCCCACGTCGGGCTCTGTGCTGACAGCTCGGAGCCCGGAGCCTGCTTCGGGTGCTGTGTCTCCTCTCTCTCTCTCTGCCCCTACCCCGCTCACAGCCTGTCTCTCTCTCCCCCTCAAGAATAAATAAACATTTGAAAAAATTAAAAGGAAAAAAAAAAAAAGAGTAACCAGAGTGGTATGAGGAAATGAGATAAGAAGCCAAGGATACGAGAGGCACCGGGTGGGATGATGGCATAAGATGCCGCAAAGAGGAAACATTCGAGGAGGAAGACATTGGAGACCTTGGATAGATCGGCTTACGTAGATTTATGAGGGCAAAGGACAAGGTCTAGTGGATTCAGGGCAGCATGAAAGGCGAGGAAGTAGAGTTACTGAAGGTAGGCTAAATCTAAGAAAGTAGAAGAATTTTGTTCGTATTTTTTTACTGAGACATCATTGACACAACGTTGTATTCGTTCCAGGTGCGTAACGTGAAGGTTTAATATTTGTATATATGGTCATGTCTTTTTAAAGAAAATAGTGGCCTGAGAGTGTTTATAAACAGTAAAGAAAATACATGAGAGCTGAAGAGACTGAATACGTGGATGGAAGAGAAGGAGGGGGCAGAGGATACAGGAGAAGGAGCAGGCATTCGATGGGGGGATGCTCTTCCCCATTGAGGTAGGTGGGAAATTAGCCAAGGAGGCACGTGTTTGCAGAGGCCTGAGGGGAGAAGCAGGGGGCGGACAGGAGCCCTCCGTGAAGTAAGGACAGAGTGGCCATCCAAGAAGGCTGGAGAAGGTGGTGGACAGGTGGCTTCTAAAAGAATGATAGGGTTTAAAAAAGTTACCGTAGAGTAATAGGCTAGTGCTGGCTCAGGGCACAGGGAAGGATGGCCTCGTGGCTCGAACTGAGCAAAGTAAAAGAATGGATTTTTTTAAATTTTTAAAAAATATTTATTTAGTTTTAAGAGACAGGGAGACAGAGTGTGAGTGGGGGAGGGGCGGAGAGAGAGGGAGACACAGAATCCAAAGGGGGCTCCAGGCTCCGAGCTGCCGGCACAGAGCCCGACGCGGGGCTCGAACCCGCCAGCTGTGAGATCATGACCCGAGCCGAAGTCGGACGCCCAACCGACCGAACCACCCAGGGGCCCCAAGAATCTGTGTAGCTAATCTACACAGGGGTGTGGACTTTTTTGTTGTTGTTGTCGCTCGTACTTGGCAACTCAGGTGTGGCAGTGAGAAAATGAGAGAGTGGACTACTCCAGGCTTATGATTTTTCTGGGCAGGTGCAGCGGGTTCACAAACTGGCAAAGAAGTCTAGACTATTGGCCAAGGAGTGATGAGAGTTTCAGGCCAGGGTCTGAGCGGGGACTAGAGGGCTCACGGAAGTGGCAGAATGGGTATTAAAGCGAGAGGGCAGAAAGGCTCCGAGGTCGTGGTCAGGAAGAGGGGCTGTGCAGGTTAGATGGGTTTTCCTCGTGGGCAGGAAGCACACACGCAGGACTTCGGCGGTATCAGTGACTGTGAGGTCATTCTCCCGCCAGGAAATCAGAAGACTGTAGATGACAAGGGAGGAAAATGACAGAGCGGCATTTGCACGGGCCTCAAAGCGAGGACAAGATACAGAAATGACACAAACAGGAACCGAAGGAGGAGGTGATGTCTGAGCTGGGCTCCTTGCGGGTCAATAGGAGTTCTCCAGGCAGATGAGGAAAGTGAGGGAGAGCAGTTCAGACGAAATCAATAAATTCTCTTACTGATTGTTAAGTTCTCTTCCAGCACGGTATCTGTCAGGGGATGTAGCTCATAATGATATCTCCTACTTCCCATTTTTGTCA